GTTACCTCCCACCCATCATCTCCCCTTAGGCTCCTTCAGTTTACGAGGGAGGAAAATCGAGACGGGAGCCGCAGAGAGTTGGCGCCCAGGCCCTCTGGTTCTCGGACCTGTGCTCTTGCCATCACTGTCCCTCCTTGTCACCGTGGGTGTAAGCAAGCCTGGAGGAACTGTGAAAGGCGGGCTCAAGGGACGGAGAGAGGGGCTCTTATGAGTAAGATACATGGTGTGTGTGTGCACGCCAATTCTGTGACACATAGTTGGCTTTCTTCCTAATTCTTTACTATTTCCTATCGGTGGTGTTGCTGGCTGGGAATTTTGGATAATAAAAGAATTATGCTTTTTAATTTAACAAAAGAAGAACCTGGAAGTTACTACCAGTCCTAGCTCATGTTTCTGTGATCACGTCTTCACATGGGGAGCGTCAGTCTTTAGAAGAGCTGTCTGTGCTGAGGGAGGACCGGGCGGGACACTGGTGTTTATTGTGTGTGTGGGTGTGTGTGTGTGTGTGGTCCTTAGCTAGGTGAAGGACAGTGATGCCATCGGGGAGCCCCAGCTCCAGGTAGCAGCTGGCTGACCCTTTCCTTTAGACTCCGCCCTGGAAGGACAGAGCACCTTCTATTTAGAAAAGCCTTTGCTATTCATGCTGTTGCTTTTTCAAAAGAGGTTAGATGGTGGGCGTGCAGGGCTCTTTGGAATTTTTCCTTTTCCGTATGTTTGGGGCAGAGGAAGGTTGTTCAGAAAAAAAATCATGTAAGTCAATGCCATATTTGTAAATGCTTTTATATCAATATCTTCAAGCTCATTTTCTCAAATAGTCAGTTTTCTTTTCTTTTTTCTTAATCGTAAGAGTCATGCATGCACATGGTAAAAACCCCAACAGGAGAGCAGAACAGTGAGAAGTAGGTGTCTGCTTTTTGTCTCCACATCTAGGCCCACACCGCAAGGAATCAGTGTTACTGGTCTTTGTGTCTGCACACATACACACCACAGACGGAGATGCCAGATAGAAAATATCAGGGCATACACGGTGTTAGTTTGCTGGGGCTGTCATAACAAAGTACCACAGACCAGTGGCTTAAACAAAGAAATTCACTTTCTCATGGTTCTGGAGACTGGAAGTCTGGGATCGAGGAAGTCTGGGATCGAGGAGTCAGAAGGATTGGTCTCTTTTGAGGCCTCTCTCCTTGGCTTGTTGATGGCCATCTTCTCTGTGTCTTCACATGGTCTTCTTTATCTGCATGTCCATGTCCTGATCTCTTCTTACAAGGACATCAGTCATACTGGATTAGGGCCCAACCCAATGGCCTTCTTTAACTTTAATACCTCTTTAAGGCCCCTATTTCCAAATATAGTCACATTCTAAGATTAGAGAGTTTTCAGGGGGTTAGGACTTCAACATATGAATTTTGGTTGGGCGGGTGTAGGGGAACACAAATCAGCCCATAACGCCGACTTATTTTTTTTTAACTATATCCTCTTATATGGGTAGTCCATAATTCATTTATTCAGTCCACGTGTAGCTGGAGAATAAGACTGTTTCCATGATTTTAACAAACAACCTTATGCCTAAATCTCTGCCCTTGTACAAGTGTACCTGCAGGGTAAACTTCTAGAAGAATTGCAAGCACTGTCGTCCAAAGAGATAGTCTTGGGTTCCTCTTGAATATGTCTTAATTTCTTCTTATTATAAGGAAAAGGAGAGCATGCGGTATCTACAAATTAAAGCCTTAACTGCTCCGTGATACACTGCTGGTGTGAGAAATTCAGACTGCAGCACGTAGCTTGTGCACTTGGCCCTGTGGGGTGGGATTGCCAGCCCTTTTGTTTGAGGAGTGTTGCAATTATGATTTTACCGTATATTATTCACTCAACCTCCGTTTATTGAGCCACTCATGGGCACTCTTTTGTTCATATGTTGCGTTGTTGTTTCTAAGACTATTTTTTAGCACAGTTTGAGGTTCACAGCAACATTGAGAGGGAGGTCCAGAGATTTCTCATATACCCGCTGCCCGTACACATGCACAGCCTCGCTCATTATCCACAACCCCAGCAGAGCAATACATTTGTTACAATTGATGAGCCTTCATTGACACATCATTATCATCCAAAGTCCAAGGTTTGTATTAGAGTTCACTCTTGGTGATGTACATCTTACATTTATTTGTTTTGTATTGCCTGATTTATTCAGTAAAAGGTCTAGGGCCCTTGGAGCCAGAGGTAACAAGACGCAGGCACTTCTCGGCAAGCTTGTGACAGCCCTGGCAGTTAGGCTGACCAGGAGTTGATTTTTTCAGTTTTGAAGGTGAAGATCTGGGGAGTGACATGCTCAGAGTAATAAAGCCATAAATGGCAGGGCCTTATGTAAACCCATTTTATTCTAAGTTATGCTTTTCCAGAAAGAAGTGGCAAGTCAGCAGGACTGTGAGATTTTCCTGGATGCTAACATAACATTTCTTTGGATGCTGTTTTGAATTTCCACTTGGTGTGTATGTCAGTGTTTGGTTTAAGTTAGTGCACTTGTACCCTTGGTTATTGGCAGTTTGCTTTGAGAAGTACCTTTGAGGCTAGTGGAGAATGGCTATTGGATTCTAATATTAGACTTGTGTTTTTATATGTACAAACATCTACACACACACACACGCGCGCGCGCGCGTATATTTTTTAATACCATAGCAGTATGTAGAGTTAAAGTGAACAATAAGGAAAGTTTAAAAAATCAGATCCATACAATGATACATGACTGTAATGATAGAAGAGGATTAAACCAGTATGATTTTCTTTTCACATTTTCCATAATCACATCCCTCTGTCACTATGTGTCTGTCTGTAAATGACCAATTAGGCTCACATTGTGTGTGTGTCTGTTCATTTTCCCCTCCACGGAGATAGTAAGTTTAAATGTTGATTCTGCTGTGGGAAAGTTCTATCATGGGAAGCATCAACTGCTCCTAAAATATTTCTTTTTCCAAATAGGATAAATATTTTGTTTATCACAGTTAAATTTGGAATGCAGTTAGACTGGTTATCTAAGACTATAGAGCTTAAAGAGTTAGCAACTAATGAAGGTGCAGTTGGGAAAGACTTTGGGAGGCAGAGGAGGAGGGAGACATGGCCTGGAGAAAAGCCAGCTCAGCCAGTGCAGGGGTGAGGGGGCGGGCGGGCGGGGACACGAGCACGCTGTAAAGGAAGGTGGCCTGTAAGAACACCACACATGCACAGTGTTAGGACCCACTGGTGTGATCTGTTAGCCCAGCCCAATAGAACAGCTTATCTTCCAAAGCAGTGGCCTAGTCTGGGGAGGCAAGAAGAGTCTTTTGAGGAAAATGGCTTAGAAAACTGAATGTAAGATGGAAAGAGTACATTAGCAAAAATTTTAAGTAATGAACTAGTACAGAACGTCAAAGGGCTCAAACAGCGGCAGTTTCATGAAGTAGATGAAATAACTTGGGAAATGTGTATGTTTTGAAGATCTGTCATAGCACCATTATGATTACGACCTGCTGTCTTATACCTGTATACCCATCATCTCGTCTCCTTGTAGCTGATGTTTATAGCGTGGCCTTCTAATTGGTGCTTGTTTTGAAGCCAGTCAGAGTCCTGAACTTCCTTCCAAATCATTATCAAGAGATTGAATTTTTAGGTGTTAGGTTTTATGTAGAGTTAATACATGTAGATTTTGTTGTTATTTGCAGTTTATGACGAACTCTTTTGTAGAATTCTCTATTTGCTAAGCAGAATTCCTTCCCTAACACCAGGTGGGTCTGATTAGGTTGTCCAAGAGACCACAGCATAAGTATTGTTATATAGTAAAGTATTACTTTCATAAATGAGGAGTCTGAGTCTTAAAAGGGTAAATAACTTGCCCATGCTTCATAGCTGGTGGTTGACAGAGCCAGGCCCCAAACCCAGGCAGACTGTCTTTGAGCCTGAGCTTTTAACAGCGCTGTGTTCTAGTGCCCCATGCTCTCCTAAAGATCTAGTTTCCTTTTAGGGCAGTGAAAACACTCCATGTGATATTGTGGTGATGGATATATGTCTTTGTATGTTTGTCCAAACCCATTGAATATGCAGCAGCAAATATGAACCCTTAGGTAAATCACAGACTTTAATGTGCCAATAAAAGGATAAAACCATGGATTATGATGTGTCAATGTAGGTTCATCCTTGGTAAAAAAAAAAAACAAACCATTCTTGATAATGGAGGAGGCTATGCATGTGTAGGAGTAGAGGGTATATGGGAAATTTCTGTGCCTTCTTCTCAATTTTGTTGTAAGATCTAAAACTACTGTGAAAAAAGTAAAGTCTTTAAAAACAATTAACACCAGACCCAAAACTGAAAACTTAATCCCTATTTTATTTAATATCCCCAAAGTATGTCCAGTTGCATTGACCAATAAAGCCTAGTCTTGCCGCACTCATTAGCCTAAGAGTTTACCATGAGGACCTGGCGCTCTGGTCAGCGGTGCGTTTGCAGGAGGCACCTCTTCCCCCTGAGCTTCAGGTTACACACGCCGTGATGTCCTGTGAAAGTGGACAGATGCGAGCCTACCTAGCCTTGCCCATCCCACACGTCCCCACGTGTTCACACAGTGCATTGTTAGGCTCAGGGAGTTTGATATATCTCTTTCTTGGGCCCAACTTCTTGTTTTTTGTGTTTTCCCCACCTCATTTTGTCCTTTTTTAAATTCTCGGCTTCTTCTCTTCTCTTTGCCGATCCCAGAAATCTTTATCTAAGAGTAATGATTATGGTGCTTCAGGTGAACTGTGCCTTTTCTGCTTAATTATTGGGCATCTCCCAAGCGGTGGTGCTAATCATTAGAGAGGATATCAGGCCAGTTCTGGTGAAAGCTTTATTCACACACTAAACTCTTCGTGCATGTTCAATGGGCAGGTTGCCTCGGAAAAATGGTAGCTTTGAAAGGTCACCTGCAACGGAGGTCTGGGATTAATAGGTTTGTAAAGTTGTGGCTTTAAGAGGATGTTCTGTGTTCCTTTTCTAGCTGGCCTGCTGCTGCGGGCCTGCTGGCTGTGCCCTGTGCTGCGGCTGCTGTCCCAAGTTCCGACAGTCCCGGAGCACCCGCTTCATGTACGCGCTCTACTTCATTCTCGTCGCCCTCCTCTGCTGCGTCATGATGTCCAAAACCATGCCTAAGGAGATGAAGGAGCACGTAAGTGGGCCTCTTTTCAACTCTTCCCATTTCTGATGGTTCAGGAGGGGGTGTGGTGGGGAACAGTCACTTTAGAGGATGGGGTCTGCACACCGCAGTGTGGTTTTGGGTACACTCGCTCTTTCTCAACCGTCCTGATGCCTCTAACAGCGCTTTCCTGCCAAGCAGGCGAACCATTCAATGTCTTGATCTTGAGTAGTGGTACAAATGTGGGCTGGTACTTTTGGTGGAGGATGCTTCTATCAGGGGGTTGTGTGTTTTGTCTTCTCCCTGTTTATGGCTCTTCCTGATTGGATGTGAACAGGTAGTCTTGTCTTGTAGACTTTTGTACTTCTCCCTTGTCATAAGGGTGGCTGCTAGTATCTCAAATAGCAGCTGTTATAAGCACTTAATTTGGCCAATATGGGAAGTACGATAAGGCTTAGGTAATCCCACAGACAGTTAGGAGTGGGCTATGGGGCGATTTTTACTTTTCTGGACATGTCACTTGTAGGGTGGGTGTCTCTACGGTTGAGGGATACACTTTCAGCCATTTCTTGGACAAGGGATGTAGAACGAGGCCTGGTTTGTGATGCTGATGAGACAAATATAGGACCCTTTTCTGGAATTCCCCTCTTTTCCCCATAGTAGGCCTCTTGATCAGCCAGATTACAGGGCGGGGGGGAGGGGTGTTGGAGTTTTCGAGGGCGCACAATAAATGGCACCATCCTTTCCTTCCCGGGTTCTGAACAAACTGGCAATAAAGACTACAGCGTCAGCAGGCAGGTGCCAAACATCCCGTTTATCCCTCCTAAAGCTGATGAAACCAGGTAGCTTGTGTCTGCAGGGAAGTGGGCTTCCTCCTGCTGAACCCAAACATGAGCCAGACCTACCCACTTGGGGACCCTCCCCGGGCACCAGTCTCGCTGGGCTGGGCCGCTCTCTGCAGGGGCACAGTTTGTCGGGAAGAGCAGCAGGCGTGCTGCCTGGGGGCCACTCTTGTCGGAGGGGAAAGGAGAGAGGAGAGCCCAGCTATCTAAACCCCACATGCCGTACAGATTGGCCGCTGACCGCTGAGCACTGCGGAGTGAGGAGTGGGAGCGAGGCCAGGGCAGCTCTCCGATGGACCCCTGCCAGAGGGGACGGCATGGCCAGGAGCAGCTCCCCAGGAAGTGTCCGTTCTCCCCGACCTTAGGCTAAAACTGCAGACTATTTCATATACACTCAAGGGGTTCAAAACAACCATTTTCTTAAAAGCACTTGATACATTCCCATCCATTAGTTGGAGGAGGCCCCTGGAAGTTTTCTGTTGGGTAATGCGTTTATAATTGTGGTTGTACCGTCTGGAATGTGGCGGAACTACTCTTAGACTTTTGAAATTTAGATTCTCCTCTGATTGCCTTAAACACCAGCTCTCTACTCAGTAGGGCACTGCAGTTATGGGGCATTCGGACTTGGGGGAAATCGAGCTTATAAACCTGAAGACAAGGTCCAAAGTCTTCCGTGGCATGAAACAAGGTAGAAATTCACAAGTGCCGTGTGGGAGTATGCATGCAGTGCTGTAGAGGTTTGGAGGCAGGGGGCCAAGGTGCGAGGCTGCCTCATTTGTCTCTGCCAGGTTTCACTCCAGCTCTGTGTTGTTTGCCCCCTGTTCTCTTCCTCTTACCCTCATGTGTTTGTGGTAAGAAGTGTAAAAGGAGGATACTGAAAGGGTAAATTTTAACTCATATTCTGTAGGTCCACTTAGTCTCCCGTTTGCTGCCTTTGTTTTTCAGGTAACTTCGTGTTGTGTTTTTTAAATTCAACAGGCACTGGCTTGAGGATCGCTGTGGTTCTGTGGTGGGAGCTCCCAGTGTGTCCTGGCTGTCTGCGGTGCGGTCCCAGCTCTTGAGAAGTTTTCAGTCTCTGTAGAATTAAGTTTTGGATCCAAGAAACAAAGTCTGAAACTATCTGAATATATAGTATCTCTTAGTGGTGAACCCATGGAGACTTTGTTGCTGGAGGCAGAGAGAATTTGGGAGCCACAGGTCTCTATTTTAGGATACGACTTTCATAATAATAATTTTGACATTTGGTTACCATTAAGTCATGCTGCCCCATGAAACCGTCCCTGACTCCAGCCAGTATCTCTGCTTTCCGACTGTTCATAGATCATTGAAGAAACAAATGGAAGATGTGAACTGGTATTGCTGGGGAAGTCTTCATGGAAGAACGGACTTGCTTGATGATAATAAGTATTTTAAGTGCTAATATTTCTTGGGTGATACCATGTGCCGGGTTTTATTCCGAGCATTTTAGCTGTATCATCTCACTCTACCACTTCTGTGCTCACCTGAGCAGTCGGCACTGTCGTTATCCCTGCTCTGCAGGCGACGAAACTGAGGCACTGAGTCCTTAAAGTGCCGTGCCCGAGGTCTCCAGCTCTAAGTGGTCGAGCTGGGATTTGAATGCAGGCTGAACGTGCTCTTAGCTACTAGGCCTTGTAGGTAGAGAGAAGAGCAAGGACAAGGCACACGTAGGACAGGGAGAAGATGTGAGTAGGTCAAATGAGCAGATCTCACAGGAATTTCAGTGCTGAGGTGCGGCGTTGACCGTGGTCTGGTGGCAGGTGGGCAGCTCTTGTAGGTTCTTGGCTGGGAGGCTGTCATGGAAACAGGGAGGCATTTAGGGAGGTGAGCCCTGCAGTGGTGTGTGTGCAGTGTGATTTGGGGTCAGAGCAGAGGGAGGAGTGGGTAACTGATGCCTCACAGAGGCTCCTGTAAATGTCTCTGTGTCTGTTCCCTGAATGGACTGATTTAAAATTGGTTTGGCTGGGCTTCCTGCATAGGGAATGGGCGAAACCAGTCCTGTTCCATCTTTACAGCCTCACAGGGTCCCGCCAGCTGGTCACAAAGTCAGCTTGTTTCGTGGCCTACAGAATGGAGGCTGACCTCATCCTCAGGCGGTGCTTGAGGGTGGGCGTTGAAAGGTCCCCTTGTGGGCATGCACACTGGGCTTCTGCCGCAGTCCTCGCCCCCTCTTTGTTGGCCTGTAGACATGTGTGAGGATGTGATGGAAGAGGAGAAGCCCTGTATGCCTCCAGCAGCCCAGAGGGGAGTGTGTAATTGCCTCCCACCCAGTATTCTCGCCTCCATGTGCGATGGCCTTTGGTATGTGGGTTAAGGACGTGAGCGCAGCCCCTTTCCAGTTACTTTCAGTTTTTCCTTGGTTTCAGGATGCAGCCTGTGTTTAAGTTTGAGCGAGAGACAACTGCCAAGGAGGTGCTGGGCCAAACTTGGTGCTGTTTGTTTTCACTAGGGAAACTCCTCTTTCCCATGAGAACCACGGCTCAGAGAAAGTTCTACTGTGCTGGCTGAGTAGGGTGTGATTTCTGTCTTCTCTTGGAGCATTTTCCCCATCTCAAAACGTAGGAACCGTTTTATTGCAGGTCGTTGCTGTCAATAATCGTGTTATGCAGGCAGGTGTAGTCCTAAGATATTTAATGCCTTGAGGATTGAAAATCTGCATTTTAGAATGTAGAATGCCAAAAACACAAAACTAAATGGTTGAGAGATTTGAGCGTCCTGTCCTGCTGCACCAGATCACCCTCTGTGTTCGGAGGCGGATGGTGACACTCGAGGTTCAGGTGCCCTGGGAGTCTACGCACGCATTTTGGGAGGGAGGAGAAAGGAAGGTTGGTCTTGTTTTCTGTGGAAGAGAGGCCTCTAAAGCCAAGCCTACCTTGGAGAAGGGAGGACAGGTGACCTATGTGGCCCTCGGGCCTTCCTCCCTGCGAACTCCGTGCCAGACCAAGGGAGGAAGGGTCTGAAAGGTTCCTAACCTGGAGCGTCTTAGGGCTGTTTTCTTTGTCCATGTTCCATTGGTCCCTGGGCTGCCCAGGTTTCCTGGGGATGGGTAGTACGTAGTGCCCGGGGTGGCTGAATCCTTAGCATTTTGTTGTTTCAGAATCAAAACACATCTTGCACTTTGTGGAAGACTGGTTTTTGTGTTGTTGTTGTATGTTTGTTTTAAATTTAAATTTTGAAGAATTACTTCTTACATTGAAAGGAGAGACAACTAAGATGTTTATTTTGATAGCAATCTTTTTTTGTTCCTTCATTTGTTTTAGAAGGCATGATATGTTGTTTGTAATCCTACTTGATCTCTTTTGGGAACATATTTTGCTTTACGCACCATTTTCTCCTGCTGAGTTTGGGTCAGTTTTCCTTTGAGTGAGTGAGTGGCGGTGTGGAAGCTGCCTCCTCCTGTGATTGGTTCCTCTCGCCCTGGATGAACAGAATGATAGTGTTGCAGGGTGCGGTGGGCTTCAGAGGAGCATTGGCCAAGATCTAACGGGATCCGGACGTGAGGGGGGCTCATAGCTGCAGTTTCCTCAGTGTCATAAAAGCAGCTCCTGAATTCCGTTCTCTCCCTGGACTTGATGAAAGTCAGCCGGTCTGATGGTGAGAGCCTGACCCCCAGCCCCACCCATTAGCTAGCGCCACACCCCAGAGATTGCAGGAGAGCCTGGGAATCGAGCCTAGGAGTTGTAGATTGGCCTGCAGGCTCTTGTTTGGCCAGCCTGTAGAGATATATATATGTATTTTAAATTTCAGTTTGGCTGCCTGTAGAAGGGCTAGCATGCTGTAGCTCACCGTGGGCCCCATCACTGGACATTTACTCTTCCTTCTAGCCCCCGAAGAAAGGCGTTTGGATTTGCAACTCCCAAAATAGCTTAAATCCTTGGAGTTCACAACTTTCTGAAAAGGATGTAAGTGTCCAAATGGGTAGGAGAGCTCTCTTACCCCGCACATTATGGTGGGCAGTATGGAAGTTGCTGAGTGTGCTAGAGTGGTCTGTCCAAATCTACACGCACAGCCCCAGGCTGAGGCCCGAGAAGGCCTTCTCTACACTAACTAGTCTACCCCTTTACATGCTGGAATCTGGCATTTTTATTCACATGACTATTTAGAAATTGTCCTGATCACTTTGGTCCATTGAACTCAATGGAGCACTCAACTTCAGGATTAATGTGGGGTGGA